GGCCGGAATATGGAAGTGTATGTGGACGACATGCTTGTCAAGAGCAAGCAGTCTAAGTCGCATCTCTCCGATCTGACCGAAGCCTTCGAGGTTCTAAGGACATATCAAATGAAGCTCAACCCAGCTAAATGTGCCTTTGGAGTCTCTTCGGGAAAATTCCTTGGCTTCATGGTGAACCACCGGGGGATCGAGGCCAACCCCGAAAAGATTAAAGCCGTGCTCGAGATGGGGCACCTAAGATGCTGAAGCAGCTTCAGTGCCTCAATGGCAGGATTGCGGCCCTGAACCGGTTTGTTTCAAGATCGACAGATAAGTGCCTTCCTTTCTTACAAGTCCTACGAAAGAAAGGGCCGTTTGAATGGACAGCAGAGTGCGAACAAGCATTTCGGCAATTGAAGGGCTACCTCTGTTTGGCACCTTTGCTCGCCAAGCCCCTGCCAGGGGACAAGCTCCAATTGTACTTAGTAGTGTCTGACAGTGCCGTCAGCTCGGTCCTAATCAGGCAAGAGGAAGCGCGGCAAAACCCAGTCTACTACACAAGCAAGGCTATGACCGAAGCCGAGACTAGATACCCTCAGATGGAGAAGTTGGCTCTAGCTTTAGTCACCTCGGCCCGACGGCTTAGACCATACTTCCAAGCCTATACTGTGGTGGTGCTCACAAACTTGCCCCTAAAAAACATCTTTCATAAGCCAGAAGCTTCTGGACGCCTGATGAAGTGGGCAATAGAGCTAAGTGAATACGACATCCAGTTCGAACCCAGAACTGCGTTGAAAGGACAAGCAGCGGCATATTTCATAGCCGAGCTCACACCACCTTCCGAGCTAAGCGAGTCCGACCTACCATGGACAATCTATGTCGACGGATCCTCCAATGAGAAGGGGTGCGGGGCCGGGGTCCTCTTGCTCGGACGAGGAGGCGAGCGATTTGAGTATGCCTTGCGGTTCGGCTTCCGGACTTCTAACAACGAGGCTGAGTATGAAGCATTTATTGCCGGTCTGCGAATCGCTAGAGCATTGGGGGCCTCTTGTGTTAAGGTCTTCAGCGACTCCCAGCTGGTTATGAGCCAGATCAAGGAAGAGTACCAAGCCAAAGACTCCCGAATGGAGAAGTATTTGGGCAAGGTCAGATCGTACCTCGCCCAGTTTCGAACTTACGAAGTAAGCCGGGTTCCTCGAGCAGAAAATTCTAATGCTGACGCCTTGGTTAAGTTAGCATCAGCGTACGAGACCGACCTGGCCAGGTCGGTCCCCATCGAGATCTTAGATAATCCCTCGATCTCAGAGCCAGATCTGATGGAGATCGGCGCTCCAGAGTCCTCATGGATGGACCCGATTGCGGACTTCATTAGGGGCAATTCACCGCAAGACCCCAATGAGCACAGAAAGTTGGCAAGGCGAGCAGCTCGGTTCGTGGTCCGAGGTGGAGCATTGTACCGGCGCGGCTTTTCCCTGCCTCTATTGAGATGCCTAACCCCTAAAGAGGGCCTGTACGTCCTCAGAGAAATCCACGAAGGAGTGTGCGGCAATCACTCAGGCGCCCGGTCGCTGTCAGCCAAAGTGATCCCACAAGGATACTATTGGCCGACTCTCAGCCAGGACGCCAATAAGTTCGTTAGAACTTGCGACAATTGCCAACGCTACGGAACCATAATCCACCAACCTCCCGAGCTGCTCACCCCCATCTCGGCCCCGTGGCCATTCGGGCAGTAGGGGGTAGATATCATTGGTCCTTTCCCTTTGGGCAAGGGCCAGACCAAGTTCGCTGTGGTTGCTGTGGATTACTTCACAAAGTGGGCCGAGGCCGAGGCGCTCTCCCACATAACGGAATCCAGAGTCACGTCCTTCGTATGGACAAATATCATATGTCGCTTTGGTATACCGYAGGCCATTGTGACRGACAATGGGAAGCAGTTTGACAACGCCAAGTTCAAAGACTTTTGCAGCAAGCTTGGCATAAGTCACCTTAGCTCGTCCCCCGCACATCCGCAAGCAAATGGGCAGGTGGAGGTNGACAACGCCAAGTTCAAAGACTTTTGCAGCAAGCTTGGCATAAGTCACCTTAGCTCGTCCCCCGCACATCCGCAAGCAAATGGGCAGGTGGAGGTGATACGAATCCATTTGTGACCAATTACATATATCAAATGAGCAATTATTACAAGAAAGGCAAGGAAGATTCAAGAGGCTTTGACACTGCACCTTCAAAAGCTTGTTAATGCACAAGAACCAACAAAGAGTTTTGAGCCCGAATTTATTCATAATGTTACTTCAATGAGTCAAGAAGAGAATGGAGCAAAGATGACACGGGAAAAGTTTTCTATTTTGAGAGATGGCACGGAGGACAAAAAAACTGTGCAGATTCGTGAACAGGTGCCTTTGCAGATTGCACCTCTTTGGAGTTTGTGAAGTCAAAAGTTGTCAAACCATATTCAAATGTGAAGCGCCTCCTACAGCACATAGATAAGACCATTTGAAGCATGACTACGTTTTCTGATCCGCATTTAAGTGTCTAGAATGATGTGCAATCAAGTTTTAATTTGCATGTCTTATTTTCTACAATTTGCATTAAGTAGTATTTTGAAAAACTTTTGGTGTTCTTATGTTAAACGACCATTTGGCCTATTTAAAGGCTTGTAATGCTCTTGTTATGGAGAACTGAAGATTAAAACATATTGAAATTCAAGAACTTTTGTTCCTTAACACTTTTGGTGTTGCTTCTTTCAAATCTTGCTTTAGGTTTGATGTTAAACCGATTCATTGGATTAGTCTCGATCAAGCTAATTCTGGAGTGAGTCGTCTTAGGATCTAGGAGTGACCATCGTAGATTCTAAGTCCGATCTAAGAGTGATTCATCTTCTAACCTTACTCTTGGTTGGAATCATTCGGTAAGTTAGTCGTTTTTGTGAATGTTTGCAAGGATCCTAGAAGGACCTCTAGCTTTGTAAACCCGAGCAACCTTGGCGCTTATCAGGAGGCAGTGAACAAGATCATCAAGCGAGGCATCAAACTTAGACTGGACTCCAAGAAAGGCAGGTGGGCCGAGGAGCTACCAGAGGTTCTATGGTCGTACCGGACCACCCAAAGAGAATCGACGGGTGAGACCCCGTT